AGCCCATTTATCTCTTTCTTTGAGTTCCATACAACTATGAGAATCCATGCCTGGTTCTTTGCAAGATAATACATGGAAAAATGTGAAACCAAAGCGAGTTGACTTACCTGATGAAGTCCCTTTTATTACTTAATTAGCTATGATTTCTACAATTACTCCTTGTTTTTTCCTCCTCCCAGAAGAAGTTTCCTAAGATGGCTCCGCATACGTCATCAAAGAAGACAAGCTACCCAGTGATAAAATGCCTTTAGAAATCACTAGTCCTATAGCTTTGAGACTGGCTTAAATTTCCAATTGCCATAGAGTATAAAACAAATGAAAACCTTGGTTAATGGGGGCCGGCAAGTGGTGTGGTGGATGGGGGCGCTGGATTCCCACATGGCCAACCACGGTTCGAGTCTCAGACCTGGTGGTTTGCTTTCTCACTTTCCCTCTTTCACTCTCTCTCTCTCTCTGTCTTTCTGATCAAATTAAAATAAATAAGTAAATAAAATGAATGAATAAATAAAATAAAAATAAGAGCTTGGTTAAAGAAGGGGGATTAAAATGACCCTGTCAGTTTTAAGGTGAAGCATCATATGAAGTATCTGTCTCCCCATCCCAACATATTTAAATATTGGGATTCTGGGTTGCTCCATTTCTATACTTAATAATCTGTGAGCAGATAAAAGCAATTATTCATAGTAAAAAAGTACTGATTTCAGAAAGTAGTTATGCAAGGGCTAGGGCTGCCGTTATATCGCAACATTTCAATTTGTAAATTTGGCCTTTTATGTTCTTCACCCACTTTCACTTTCAGTGAAAAAGAAAATATGCTAATAGATTACTCACAATAATTATTAAAGTGAGTTACAGTTACTTACTGTTCTGTGTGGCATGATGTTAAGCAGTTAAATAATAATTGGATAGATTAAAAATTGACCTATAAGTATCTACTCAAGTTTTTCTCTATATACATTTTCTCTATATACATTATTTATTATTTTGGCCAGAGGACATGAGCAGTGTCCTGGGAGAGAGAGAGAGAAAGCACCCCTGGTGAGGTGTGGTCATGCTGCTGTCCTTTCTCCTCTGTTCCCTTTCTCATCCGGATTTTGGGCATGCATGTACACCTGCCTGGTGTGTTTTTCAAGCCTCTAGGGCTAGGATTCAAACTGCTCTCAAACTACTAGCCGCATAGGATCTGGCTCCCTTAACAATGGACTATGGAATTGGCCCATGAAGACTTTGTACTTTGAGGGACATTCCATTGTGCTTTACGAATAGTAGGCCACTGAACCCAAACCTTACTACCTTACTGCTATGTTGAGCATATTAGCTGAAGGAAAATAGGGAAATTCATCATTCCAATCTATTTACGCCTAAATTTTGCTTCATATTAAACCTACATCCAGATTCAGTTTTTACTCCCTCATCCCCGACCCCTCTCTGGAAAACTATACGATTTACACAAATTAGTGATGCAACGCGTCTTTAGCCTGAACTAGAATTTATCTGAGGGGAGCACTCAAGAATCACAACATGCATTCGCACACAGAGCAACAAAATGAAAAGTTAGTTCTTTGAAAAGATAAAATAAACAAACTGTTAGCTAGACTAAGGGGGGAAAAAAAAACACAAATAAAATCAGAAACCAAAAAAGGAGACATTACAGCTGATTTCACAGAAATGCAAAGATTAAAAGAGGGTCATTTTTTAACAACAAATTGGAAAATCTAGCAGAAGTGGATAAATTCCTGGACACATAACAGCCTATCAAGATTGAATTGGAAGAAATAGAAAATATGAACAGAACAGTAAGTAGTGAGACTGAATCAGTAGTACAGAATTTCTCTACAACAACGGCAAAAGGCTAGACTGATGGCGTTCTTTGCTAGATTCCATAGGACAGAGGAATTTTGGCTTGAGCCAAGTCCTCAGAAAAATCTAAATTCCATGTTGTTAATCATTGGCATAATAGTTTCTTATATTTTATTTACTTCTCCAGATTATAAACAAGTTGTCTTAAAAGCGTCAACATCACTTTGGAAATGATTTCCAGAATGTTTACCATCGTCTGCCACCATCTCCTATCTGAGGACACTCCATAAAGTTCCTTTCAGAGCTGTGAGCTCTCTGAGTTCTGAGATGGGAGAATGAGGTCACTTACTTCACTTATTTTTGTTCTCATGGGTTAAACTTCATTAGATTCTGAACTAAATAGAGCTATCTTCACTGGAAAGTGAAATCCCCTCGCTAATATTTCAGAAAGCTGTCATTTTCTAAATGTAAAATACATGTTT